AAATAATAAATTATATTATATATTATCCAAGTCAATTAAAAGGTATATTATTTCAAGAATTTAAGGCCACACAAATGTTGTTCTTTCACCCAAAACTTTGACATCAAGTGAAATAGCTTAAAGAGCAGATTGTTACAGATGTAAAGTGAAATTTTATTGCACTGCCGAGTCGAACAGCTGCAGATTTTCACATGAAACTGTATCTGCACGGCATTTTCTTTGCTTTTTTCTCTCTCTTTAATGTGTTTAAATTGAAGCTTTCTGTGCGCTTCTCTGGCCAAGGATTTTTAATGATATTTAGCTCGTTGGCCACAGGCACACACACATAGAAACACACACACACACACACACACTCTCAGTGGCACTTCAGTGGCATTTGGTGTAACGAAGAAAATTGCAATTGACGCCGAGCAGAATAAACACTTTTCATGTTGTTCGGAAAACGATGAAAACGGGCAGCGTGTCTTGCGGCCACTTGGGCGTATACGTAATTAATGATGGCCACGAAATTGTCAGTTTTTGACAAATATCGCTTGATGGGCTGTCCAACTGCGTGGCACTTAATCAAGTCCAGACAAATCTCTAAGAAGCTTTCAATTAGCTGGCGCTTAAGTAATTATGTCTAATGCAAAAACTTCTGACATCTGATTGATGGCAAGGATGCTGCCTGTGATGTTGCCTCTGCAGCTCCCTCTGCTGCCTCTGCCGTTGCTGTTCAAGCCGAGCAACGCCCCTCTTTTTAATAGACAACGCGTAAATGCTAAAGCTAGCTAGTTGGCCCGCATTCGCCAAGGCAGCAGCGTGTGCCTGGCAAGGACTCTTTGCTCTAGCTGCCACGCTCTGCTGGTCATAGTGAAAGGACTCGGCGCAGCCAACAAGCCAACAACTGTAGCCGGGGCCCTGCGAACTCATTCACTATGTCTGTTTACAGTGTCATAAAATATCAGCAACAAATGCGAAACCAAAACAAACAATGGCCACAGCCAAAAACAAAGCGCTAGACAAATAAGAAAAGAAGAGCAGAAACAAAACAAGAAAAAAATGTAAGAGAGATGAAAGCATCTTCAGAAAATAATCAGATGAAAGCCAAGCATATGTGTGGTCACTCCACTGACCTGTAAAACTATGTGACTTTAGGACTTGTCAGCTAGACTTTGACTTGGAG